CGGTTTTGCCGGTCGTTCGGTATGATTCCTTATAATAAATCTGCCAGCATACCCGTTTTCGCGAAGCTGATCCTGGATTCTTCCAAGATTGCCATCAACGCTATTTGTCGGACAGATTTTTCTAGCTCTTGGCGCCAAACATAGGATTAGATCACGTTTCTGTTGAAGGGGTACAAAACTGCAGAAGTTCGTATATTGCCCAGAGCAACTGTTCTTTCAATAGACGCTTCTTCGAATGCCGCCGTCAGCAGTTTTACTTTTTGCAGTTACTTCTTTACCTACTCCTGTAGAGCAGGCTATACCGGACGTACGAGTCGGCGCCTATCTGCAAGAATACGAGAAAACCTGCCGGCATGGCTGAGGAAAGATGGTTGGATACCAGTTTCGCAACACGCCGTTACTGATGCTAGTATTATTGCAGTTAGTTACCCATACTGTAAGCGTTGGTAGAGTAGCATTGGCAGCCGTGGTGGCGGTGGTAGTAGTAGTAGTAGTACTAATAGTAGGATTATTAGTAGTATTCGCCGTATCAGTGGTGGTAGACGGGGGAAAAAGTTTTCTTCAGTGTTGCGACACTGTATTGCCGACAGTGGTAGTAGTATTAGTAGTAACAGCGGTAGTAGTGGTAGTAGTAGCAGTAGTAGTGGTGGTGGTGGTAGTAGTAGTAGTAGTATTAGTGGTAGTAGTAGTAGAAGTAGTGGTAGTAGTAGTAGTAGTAGTAGTAGTCCGCCGGTAAGACAGGCTGGTGGGGGAATTGACAATTCTAGTGTTGCGACACTGTATTCCCGCCGGAAAGATTAAGTTAGGAGCATTCACAGCTCCATCATCGCACACGTGGTTGATTCCGGGCATCGTGTGGATCCCAACGAAGCCTTCCGTGTAATTTACAAGGTCCCATCTAACTCTGCCCTAAGCAACTGGATCACCGCCTACTAACAACAGCAGAAGCGACTGCCATCGGGCTACGGAGGCCAGTCCTGTGCACGCAGAAGAACCTCTCGCAGGCCCCACGTCTGCCGTGCCCAAAGATCGATTAACCGCATGCATCTCTCTGCGTCCCCATCCCCCCCCCCTTCCACATGTGACACGGCTCTACCTAACCCTCACTGTCACTGCCGCCCCTCCCTTCCCTCCCCTCTATTCACGTACCCCATTTGTATGAAAGGACGGACCTTAATCGATTGCTCTTATCGCTCACACGTTTCAGTTTGTATCTTGTTCCCATATAAATGTACAGGGCGAACGAGAATTCTTAAAAGTATTTATCTAAACAGTGACCTTGTAAATAGTACAAAAACAGGAGACAAGTCACATATGGAGCGTAAGTATTGGCTGTAAGATGCACCCTTTAAGAATTATTGATTTTCCTTGGCATAAGTTATTTTCTATACATGGTCATGTTGGCTCATTATTCTGTCAGGTATGATTATTTCGTCTTGCAGAAAACCACTGTGTGATCAGGATGCATGCATACACGTGTTCGCACTATGTACACCAAACATTTTATTTAATACGGGGCATTGTTCCGGTCAAGAACATAAGACACTGAAGCGTTCGTTTCTCTTGTTTGACTTCGAAGTCAGTAGACTGCGGCGCCTGGCTAAATGGAGCTTGTACTGTCTTTCAAACTAGACAAATCTGTTAACGCCGCTCACATGTGAATTTTTGTGGTTTCACAAAAATGCGTCGTCATACTATTTTTTGTGCATCGTCTGGAAACTTCGACG